ACTGTCTGACGCGTCTGCCTCCGCGACCCGAAAGGAGAAGCGGCGATGGAAGATGATGATGATGATGAAGGTAAATGAATCAAAACGGTAACAATGACTATAAATCGTTTATAAGGAATGTACACCACAGTTTGTATTAATTTCATTCAGAACGACGCCACACAACGTGGTATTTTGCGTCGACGCCTCTCGAACAAGGGAAACGATTGCGCTTACCACACAATGTTGAAGGCTGACACTGAGCAAGGGCAAAACCTGAACATAATTTACGTATGAATCTGTGCATCGCGGTGTTAACCCTAAGAAATGAGAATATCACTTAACAATGTTATCGGTATTGGAGAAGGAAAGGGATTTTCTACCCGTTTTGCAAATAAAGCCAGGTGAGACATCGTGCATACAGCTGGATACCTGAGATTCGTTTGGACGAAGCAATCAAGGAGTAAAGATACGCCGACGGAAAACAGTCACGATTTCGGAACACAGACATCAGCACACGTCAAGAAACGCTCTGAAAAGCTCTGAATTCGTCGAACATGCAACAGCGGCAAGCGTGAACATAAACGATAGTTTAAAAAAATCGAGCAGGTGTCCGCGCCATCGTCCATTGAAGACGAGAGAAGAGAGCCGGGCACCATCTGCCATAATCACCAGGCAGAAAAATCAGGAACTGGTTATGTCACAGTATACTAAGTTGACAGCAAACGAAAGAACTTCTTGTCTCTGTAGCAAGTTCAGGTTCTTTCACGGAGCCCATAATGTGGCTCTGACCTCTATTAAAATGTCAACATACAACTCATGTTTCTTACATAGATGAAGACACTGACAATGAGGAACAAAGAATCAGGACGTCAGCTGATGAGGACAGACGAACAAACCTGTACGTTAATTACGGAGTGCGAACTAAGATTTTCCCTGAACGTAACGGATCTGGTCGATCAAAAGGCACTGCTTCCTCAAGTCGCGAAGAAAATGTTAAAACAGCAGAATCAACAAAGGGGTTATGACATTTTCTTCATAGCAAAGGAAAACCTTCAGGGAAAAAAACCAAGTTCACGCAAATTAATTTACCTTATCGCAGAAAACGGTTAGAAAATGCAATTTTCAGTTGTTTTTCATTTAACTTTATGAGAACAAAGAGAAAGGGAGTGTCGTATAGGAGTAAAACAGAGTAATGGGTGGCTTTCTTTGAAAATGGCACCCAAAGCGACTTATGTGCATTTTCGGCTCCCAAGGAAACCTATAACACCAAATAGCTGACAAACCTGAATGTCATTTGCAACGCAAGGGACACGGAAGATGGGCAGAAAGAGTTTCATGGAATAATGATGTGTATCGTGTGCCATCATAATAGAGATTAGATATTATTTTGAATTGGACATTATAGTTCTACCAGTTCTAAAATCGCATAGCAATTACTCACAACTGTACAAACAAACATGATTAAGATGCTTTCGGCAGTACAACCGAATCATGAGACATTAGGT